TGTCAAATAAATAAATAAAATCTTTAAAAAAAAAAATCTTGAAAAGAAAAATAAAAGAGGAGGGAGCTTTTATTCTACTGAATCCTCACAATACCATAGGTAGGTAGGGCTCTCTTTTCTCCTTGTTCCATATTATGTAGAAAACCATATAGTTGTTACATATGCTCCGTCATCTCCTTCCCTCTGTCCATTTTGAAATGATAGCTGTTGTTTTTATTGGCTCACCTTATGCCAGAGGCTTTCTACCTGTCTTCTCCTCTCATCTCTCTTTTCAGGTATTCTGAAGGGATTTTTCATGCTGCAAGTAAATTTCCATCTTCACTTCAGTCTCTAATTACGTATCTCATGGGAGCTGTTGAGCAGGCAAAATCTTTATGGCAATCCTTGGCCCTTCCTCTCCTATGCCACACCTACTTTCTCAGCATATGTCTTCCTTAGCTTCAGAATATTCTCAGGATATGGCCACCTCTGACTCCTACCACCATCACCCTGGCCCATGATGCTGGCATCTCTCACAAGGATTACCGTAAAGGCCTCTTAATTGGTCTCCCTGCTTCCACCTATGTATTCCTACAGTTTATATTCTGTACAGCAAGCAGAGTGAGACTTTATGTTGCTTCTCTTCCCCAGACCCTCCCTAACAGCTGTCTCCAGGGGCCCAGGGCCCACCCTCCTGTCCTCACACCCACATGGGCTGTTTTGCTGTGACTGACTGGGACAAGCATACTCTAGGCTCAGGGCCTTTGCATAGTACGTTTCCAGCCCAGACCCACATGCTTCACTCCTCCACATACTCTCAAATACTGTCCACTCAGAGTTCACCTTACCAGAGAAGTCCCTGACCATCTTATTTAAAGTGCCCCCCCTTATGCTGCCTTGATTTTTTTTTCATACTCTTACACACATTTGACATACCATATATTTGGTTGTTACATGGCTTCTTGCACTCGCATGTAAGCTCCTCGAAGGCAACAACATTGTTTTATTCGGTACTCTATCCTTTACACCTAGAACACTGCTAGTCAGGGAGTAGGCACTTAATACGTATTTATTGAATGAAGAAGTGTGAAGATGCTTGCACAGTGAGCTGGGGCTTCATTAATTTCATCATTCCCAAAGATAATTGAACTCCAGATCAGAAATTTGAAGAGACCCTCGAGATGAATAACTTTAGTTTCATTTAAATTGTATATTCTGTCCCATCTTGCTGTTTGCTCTTTACAAACATACACACTCCCACTGGAAACAGCTTTCTATTGCAAGTGTGAAGGCCTTAAGCGGCGGGGGTGGGGTGGGGTGGGGAATGCTCTTGAAAAGGAAAAGGTTAGATTTGAATCTCATTGATTTTGGCATTGGCTTATGTATTGCTAATCTGCAGTGAACTGAGTTGAGGTGCTAGAGAGGTTTATAAAGGTTGCTGAGAGTGGTACTGAACAAAGGCATAAAAACTTGTATCATTCTTTCTCCTTGTTTCAAATGAAAATAACAGGAGACGAGTGTCGCAGACAGCAGGCTGGCTATTTGGTAATTCTGTTAAGACCATTACCTATAGCTCTCCATTTACGGGGTACAGTAGCTTCTACTTCCATCCACACCCCTAACTTCTAATATTTGCACTAGAACAAGTATCAGACATTTGAGAAAAATCTATTTCTGTTAATTTTTGAAGTATATTTTTGTTTTTTGACTAGTCAAATGATTATATTTCAGTACATATGACCAGGGAAGTAGATCTTTTGAATAACTTTGCCTGAGAATGGTCTATTCTCATGATACATATTTATGGCAGGAATGGCCAGAAATGAGATGATGATCAAATAGAAGTTTGTTTAAACAGTCACTTTTGCTTGGTATGGTAAAAAGTAGAGTTTGAATGTGTGTTTTCCCATACCACCCAGCAATTAACTCAATTCTCACAGTCTACCTGGAGACCTCATCAGTCCCAACAGGTTAAGGGCTCTGTCCCATAAGACGGTCCCTTCTTCAGATACCAGTTGCAAATCATTACTGGCTTCTGACCTACTGGCTATAAGTTAGACGTTCCCACCTTCCCCTCCTCCAGTTTGATTCATTTGCTAAGAGTGGCTCACAGAACTGAGATAGAACACTTACTTATATTTACTAATTTATCGTAGAGGATAATATAAAAGATAGAGATGAATAGCCACATAGGGTGGGGTCTGGAAGGGTCCGAAGCCTAGAACTTCTGTCCCTGTGGAATTGGGGTGTGTCACTCTCCAGGCTCTTGCGTGTGTCCACCCACGGGGACGTTCCAGAGTTTTTACAGAGCTCAGTCTGTGGTGCCCCTCCCTCTACCCACTGCCAGATGTCAGTGGACAGGACTGAAAGGTCCAGCCCTCTAATCACTTAGTCTTTCTGGTGCTCTGTAGAAGCCCCACCCTAAGTCACCTCAGTAGCATAAACTCAGGTGTGCTCCAGAGGGACTCTTTATACAGATATAAAAGATACTCCCATCACTCAGGACATTCCGAGGGGTTTAGAAGCTTTCTGCTTTATTCCACGTATAGCACATTCGCATTCTTGTGCAACCATCACTACCTTCCATATCGAGAGCTCTTTTCATCTCCAAACACTGAAACTGTCTCCATTGAAAACTACTTCCCCAGCTCCCTACCCCCAGCTCCTGATAACTGCCTTTCTGCTTTCTGTCTCTATGAATTTGTTCTAGGTACCTTATAAAAGTGGAATCCTACAGTATTTGTCCTTTGTGACTTGCTTATTCCATTTAGCATAATGTTCTCAGGTTCATCCACATTATAGCACATGTCCAAATCTCCTTCCTTTTTTGAGGCTGTATAATATTATCTATATCTATCTATGTATATATCATATTTTGTTTATCCGTTTGTCAGTGGACACTTTGGTTGCTGCCGCCTTTTAGCTTTTGTAAATAATGCTGCTGTGAACAGGGTTATATAAATCTTTTTTGAGTCCCTGTTTTCAGTTTTTAGGAGTATACACCCAGAAATGGAATTACTGTATCATGTGATAATTCTGTGTTTAATTTTTTTTGAGACTGCCATGCTGTTTTTCTCTTTCTTTCTTTCTTTCTTTCTTTTTTTTTTTTTAAAATTTTATTTATTTGACAGAGAGAGACACAGCGAGAGAGGGAACACAAGCAGGGGGAGTGGGAGAGGGAGAAGCAGGCCTCCCACTGAACAGGGAGCCTGATGTGGGGCTCGATCCCAGGACCCTGGGATCATGACCTGAGCCGAAGGCAGATGCTTAACGACTGAGCCACCCAGGCGCCCCTGCCATGCTGTTTTTCATAGCAGCTACATTTTTTTGCATTCCCACCAACAGTGCACAGGGTTCCAATTTCTTCACATCCTCAGCAACACTTGTTTTCTGTTTGTTTTTTTTTTTTAATTAGTTATTTATTTTTTTGATAGGTGTGAGGTGGTATCTTGTATTTATATTTCTGTAATGATTAGTGATTTTGAGCATCTTTCCAGGTGCTTATTGCCATTGCTTTGGAGAGTTGTCTGGATAAATACTTTAAAAATTGGCCAAGTTAGGAAATACGTGATGCCTTGTTAAGAGTGGTTTCTAGGATGACAGTTCTTGTTCTGCCATTCCTCCATGGAACCCAGCTTTTCTCCCAGTTCCCTTCTAGTTAGATAAGATAAGCTGGAACTCCCCCCTACCCCCCCAACCTTGGAATAGTCTCCTGACCATCTGGTGCCTGTTTACTCTCAGAGGATGACACATTTTGAGGGCCTAAGAACATGATTACCTGTAGATGGGCTTTAAGCCCTGGCCTACCTTTTGAGAATCAGGTTCTTTTATTTTTTCTTTAATTGAAGTATAGTTGACACACAGTGTTACCTTACTTTCAGGTACAGCATAGTGATTTGACAGCCCTGTACATGATGCTGTGCTCACCACAGGTGTAGTAGCCCCCATCTGCTCCCATACAACGCTGTTACAATACTGTTGACTATATTCCTGGGCTGACCTTTCATCCCCATGACTTATTCATGCCATAATCAGAAGCCTGTACCTCCTCTCCCCTTCACACATTTTGCCCATCCCTCCACCCGCTCCCCTCTGACAACCATCAGTTCTCTGTTTTAATGGGTCTGTTTTTGCTTTTTTGTTTGTTTAGATTCTACATATACGTGAAATCATGTAGTATTTGCCTTTCTCTGTCTGACTTAGCATAACAGCCTCTAGGTCCATCCGTGTTGTTGCTAATGACCCCTCCCCCCAAAAGCTCCTCCTTTTTTATGGCCGAGTAATATTCCATTGTATGTATATGTACCACATCTTTATCCATTCATCTATCAGTGGACACTTGGGCTGCTTCCAGTCTTGCCTATTGTAAATAATGCTGCAGTAAACATAGGGGTGCATATGTCTTCTCAAAGTAGTGTTTTTGTTTCCTTTGGGTTAATACCCAGAAATGCAATTACTGGATATGGTAATTTGAGAACCAGATTCTTGAGATGGTACTCTAGCTGCCACTTCCTCACCTGCTGCCTGAGGTGACTAGATTTCCCAGGCCAACTGCATTCTTAGAGGATTTGTCAATGGAAATAATGTTTATGTGATTTTGAATGTATGTGTATGGTTCAACCTTGGGTGTCAGTTGGGGTTGGGGTGAGTTTTTCATGAAGAGCCATTCTGTTTGATGTTCAATCCTTGGGGTCAAGCTCATCATAAAGGGCCGGGGTTGGCAAACTTTTTCTGCAGAGTCAGGTGGTAAAAATTATGTTTTTGTAGACAGTAAGGTCCCCGTTGCAACTACTCAGTTTGGCTGCCCCAGCGGGCAAGTGGCCATGGAAGATACATAAACCAGTAGCTGTGACTATGTTCCAGTACAACTTTATGTAGAAAAACGGGCTGGGGCCATATTTGGCACGGGGCTGGTGGCATGGCCACGCTCTGATCAAGCGTTTCACTCCTCACCATCTCTGATTTAACCAGCCTCTATTGCTTTAACATAGGCAGATATCCAAGTGGAGCAGAACCGGCAGCACTTTTATGAACTGTCTCTTGAATATGTATGTAAGCTTCAGGAAATCCAGGAAAGAAAGAAGTTTGAGTTTGTGGAGCCTGTAAGTATCATAGAAGGTTGTTCTGCTGTTAGATTTTTGGGATATAATAGAAATGTTTTTCTCTCTAGATGGAATTTACCATTGTTGGGGGCCAGAGTGCATACACGTGAAGCACAAGGCATCGTAAATTATAAAAGTGGACACCCATCACCATGAAGTCAAGGAATCACCTACAAATTAGTGGTTCTCAGCCTTATTGGCACAGCAACATGTAGAGAGTATTAGTTCTTAAGGACTCCGCAATCAGGTGGTATTTCTGCCACCCTATTGTAGGTCCACCCTTTAAAGAGAAGCCCTGTGAAAGAAATGTTAGGATGGGAGAGACAGTGGTGGTGGTGATGGATAATTTTCACTCTGCTCGAGTTTGTTCTGAAGCAAGCACACCAGTCCAAGTTTTGGTACTTTGAACAATTATTGGTAACAAATTATTTCTAACACAACTCAATGCTTATGGCAACCTGTTAAGAACCAGCATGTGGAGCACTTGAAACTATTTTGTGAGTTACTCTGGCCATTCTTTAGACCTATTTACAGACATGTGATTTGTGTTTGTGCTTATATAGATGTATTCTAATAGCTTCAGTTCTTTATATATTTTTGTATATACATAATGTATATGGACACATATGAATATATGTAAAGGGTAATTCATACTGTGGGTTTTAGTGAAAAAACCAAGAAGCATTGAAATTCATGATTCTCAAGATTAATTTTAATGTAGGTGTTTTTGCATGTGATTTTTTAAAAAAGCTTTACTGAGATAGAATTTACATCCCATACAATTATCCATTTTATATGTGATTTTGAGAAACAGAAAAATAACAAAGTAATGATTAATTTGAAATTGACATTCATGGATGCAATAGTCTAGTTAGAGTAATAGAATCTTATTTATTTAAGATTTAATTGAGAAACAGAGATAGCGACAGAGATAGGAGAGATAGCATGAAGCAGGGAGGAAAGGGGGAAGCAGGCTCCTCACTGAGCAGGGAGCCCGATGCAGGGCTCAATTCCAGGACCCTGGGATCATGACCTGAGCCAAAGGCAGACGCTTAACCAACTGAGCCACCCAGACACCCCTAGAATTAACCTAATTTAAGCAATGAGAGAAAAATTGATCTCCATAAACCTTTCTTGTATGTGAAATACTAATAATGACCTGCATTTATTGAGCATTTACGGTGCTCAGTCATTGTTCAAGTCATTCTTCTAATACTTCACCATGCTCATGTGTTTATTCCACACACTAACACCATAAGGAGATATTTTTATGATCCCACTAAGCAAATAAGGAAATGGAAGTACAGAAAGTTTCAGTAATTTGCCCAAAGTCTCATACAGAGCTGAAGTTGGGGATTGACCCTTGCTGGCCACTTGACATTAGAGTTCCAGATTCCTAACCATTGTGCCACGTGACATTATGAAGAAAATGAATCTCAGGATTTCCTTAATTCCTACCCCAAATCACTTTTACTCATTTTAAATTCACATGTTGGGCAAAAGCAGGTGCTCTTTACTCAGGAGGGGCAGGTTGAGGGTAGGTCAGAACTCAGAGCTTAATTATCACTCTGTCTCTACCTGTCTCTGCCCCAGTCACTGAAGGTTTATAGACTAAATAGAGAAGTCACTGGACACCATTGGAGAGAGCTTTTAAGCTCTTTAATTCTGTGATTTCACTTTCATTATAGGTTCTATTGACTTATGGTGATAAGATTTCAATTATAAATGAAGATAGAGATTCTCTTGACTAGAAAGAACAATGGATGATATAGAACTCCATTTCTCCAGTACACCTTACTCTCAAAGCTATCTAATAGCTCTGATATTTAAGGAAAAATAACAAATCTTCCATTTTGTGAAAGGACAAATTAATAAAATTAATAAATAATATGTAGTTAGATTTAGTTAATTCCGGTGACTTCTTTTAATTATTTTACTTCAGTAGAATCACAGTGGGTTGAGGGGGGGCAATATGTGGCTGTTCTTATTCTCCCCTCCCCCCCACCCTGAGTTTTTGTTTGTGCTAATGTCATTTTTTTTCCCTTTGTCTTAGATGCTGTCCTTTTTTCAGGGAATGTTTACTTTCTATCATCAGGGCCATGAACTTGCCAAAGACTTCAATCACTACAAAATGGAACTACAGATCAACATTCAGAATGTAAGGAAATGAAAGCTTTCTGGTATAAGAGGATGTTTGAGATGTGTATTTTCATTTTGTTATATGAAAAGCCTTAAACCAAAACCAGGCTGAGCTGTTGGTGTTGAGAAACTGAGGCTACGTTGCCACCTTCTGGTCAGTTCTCAGTGTAACAAACTGCTCTTCAATTAGGTGAGGCTCAGGAATTCTGCCACCTGGCGGCTCTTTTTTTTTTTTTTAGATAATGAATTTGTTTTAAAAATTTTTCTTGTCTTTCAGAAAAGTCACTAGATATGTGTTTTAAATCAGGAGTCCCATAATTTATTATTTTTTCTAGTTTGATTGAGGTGTCATTGACATACAGTACTATATACGTTTCAGTTGTACAGTGTATCGACTTGACATATATATTGCAAAATGATTACCACAGTAAGTTTAGTTAATGTCTGTCACTTCATACAGTTACAGAAACTTTTTTCTTGTGATGAGGACTTTTAGGATCTATTCTCTTAGTAACTTTTAAAATATGTCCTACAGCAGTGTTAACTGCCACCATGTTGCACTTTGTAGGGGTAATTGTAAGGATAAACTTTGTTATGTAACTTTCAGTCTTTCATGTAGGGAGCAAACAAAAGAACTTCACTCCACTTTAGATGTAAGGCATTTCAGTTATAATGATCTCAATTTCTATTACCTGTGTATCTTGATTTTTAATCCCAGCTAGGTTTATGGTTCAAGAGGAATTTCTTCCCTATGTTTATGCATATTCACTAATGTATTGAGTTCACAGTTGCTGTTGGTCTATATTATTTTCCTGGAAAATATATGCTTTCAAAGAGGTCTTGGATAAAGAGATTTAAGAGAGCTGTATTAAACAGTATAACATAGGTGATTTTGATCAGAAGGTGGTGGATGTTTTTCCTCTCAACACTTAAATTGACTTTTGGAAGTATCCGCATTGAAATTCTTTTCAGATTATGTTTAGTATAATTTTAGGCCTCATTAGAAAAAAAAGTGAGTTTTAGGACAAGCACATTCTAGCTCGTACTGAAAGACATATGAAGAATGGGACTCTGTGCTGTTTGCTGCCTGACTTTCAATTTGATATCATCATAGGGATTGAGGAGGAATGGTTTTGTGTAGATTTTGTTCCTAAGTTTTTTGTATAGTTCCCTACATTTGGGAATTTAGATAATGAAATCTCTCTCTTTCTCTCTCTCTTTTTTTTTTTTTTGGTAATTCAAGTGTCCATTTGTATTTATAGATTATTTTGATGTTGAGCTGGGTTAAATAACTAAAAGAGTAATCACCCCCATTCACGCCCCCCCACTATCAGTGACCACAATGTGACAGAATTCTAAAAAATATCAAAATGTATATGTATGTGTAGATTAGTTCTAATTTTAAAATTGTCTCTATAGGTAGTAGAATAGTCTACTGTTGCTGCAATTTTTTCAGATTACTTTTGCAGACAGCAGAACACAGTTTTGTAAAAAGAACGCTATATAGTTAGTTTAGAAGATTAATTATACTCTTGATTTTTTCCTCTACCAACTGGCTATATAACCTGTGGAAATTTACCTCTTCTGCCTGGATGTCATCTGTCAAGTACAGGGCTGGCCTGGATGAGAACCTTCAGGCAGAACTGGTTCCAAAATTTGTGGAGTCGGTATAAAATGGGAAGGCAGGGCCCTTATTTAAAAATGAAGAATTTCAAGACCATGACAGCAGAGCATTAAACCAAGAGCGTGACCTTCTGAGCACAAGGTCCCCTGTGGTTGCACAGGCTACGTGCCCACGAAGCTGGCTGTGTCTCGGTGTCTGGGGTGAGGGGTGGGGTACATCTGCGAAACGATCCCTGCACAGCTTGCTTGTGGATGGAAGTACTTTTGTAACACGTCTGTGTGGTAACAGGGATATAGTTACCTTACATACGCCAAAATGATTTCAAGAGATTAAATATTTCAGTGTAAATGAGCAATGCCCAGTCATGAAGTATTAGAAGAAAAACCTAAAAACAAGCTATCCCTTGAAATGGTTCACAAAATAACTTGGTTAATATCCTTACTACATTCAGAAGTTAACTTACACATTTGATAACAGTCATTTCCCATAGAGAAATGGGCAAAGAACGGTTGGCTGGAACATTTTTCTGTATCCTCTGGAACTCAAGGACTGTCATCAGTAAATGGCCCTAAAACCTCTTTTCTAAATACTCATCTCTTCGTTTTGTTCTGCTTCTGAGGCTGCTCCTGCAACTCTTTCATGCAGAGCCTCTTCTTTCCACCTCACCTGCAGTTTTGAGAACACCTGATCGAGGTGTCTTTGCCATTCGTGTTTGCGCCTAGCTAATTCTTTTCCCTTCAGAAATGCCGGCACCTTTGAAACACATGCCGCTCCTTCTGCGGTACCTGCTGTACCTGAGTGTTGCTGTAGTTTGTTCACTTCTTGGCCATTTCTCTCATTCCCTGATGATATCAGCTTTTAGCATAATAAAGGGAAAATGCTGGCAATATAAAACAATTACAAAAATCCCAGTTATGTGTTCTTTTTTATGCGATGTATATTTATGTATTTAAGGAAATAGACGCAAATATTAAAACCAAATCTTAGGGCGCCTGGGTGGCTCAGTTGGTTGGGCATCTGCCTTTGGCTCGGGTCATGATCCCAGGGTGCTGGGATCGAGTCCCACATAGGGCTCCCTGCTCTGCGGGGAGCCTGCTTCTCCCGCTGCCCCTCCCCCAACTCGTTCTCTCCATCTCTCTCTCACTCTCTCAAGTAAATAAAATCTTAAAAAAATATAAAACCAAATATTAGCATTAAATATCTGTGCGCTATAATGCTATGGATAATTTTGGTCAACTTTTAAGACTTTTAGTAAAAAAACAGCAGGATCGTTTTACAAAATCAGAAAAAATGTAGAAGTTACTTAAAAATGAAAACAACCTATTTTCCCCACCTGGTTTCACCTTTTCTGTTGTAAAAATGGCAACACCTCTTTTAGTTTTTTGAAAGCAATTTATTCCTCATCCACTTTCCATAATCCAGAGTAATACATGGAAAGCAAAACAGAGCAAGATGGCTTTTAGAAAATAGATTTTCAAGAAAAATATAAATTGCATCAAAATTGAAGTATATTTTAAAAAACTAAATTTAAACTTTTGTTATCTTTATCCCCAGAGGAATGTGGGGAAAGAGAAACTAGAATAGAATTCTTCCTAGAAGGAAATGTAATGTGAGAAATCTTAGAATTCATGAAGAATCCCCAGAAGATCCTAAGAATAGTTAAGATTTTAAGAATATGCCCAAATATTTTTCTTACAGTGTTGTGAGAAAAGTAGAACACTAAAACAATAAACCATGTTTTTTTTTAAAAAAAGGGATTGGAAGTGATTGTGTAAAAATACAAAAGTGCTTATTTCTGAGGGATAGGCTTATGGTCACTTTTAATTGCTTTTAAACCTTTTCTTTCTGCCCCCAAGACAGGACTGTTTGTGCCCCTTCCTTCTTTCTGTTTTATAATGTTGTGGATTTGTTTTTATATTCTGAAAAAAATTTTTAAAAATATACTTTCTCTTGCAATCAGATTTAAAACAATAAGCTGTTAGTTTGATATTGAAGATTTTCCTTTATCCTTTGACAGGGAATAATTGTGACTTTTGGGTGACTTCATTGTAATAGTAGTCATAGTAGTAGTGTCATCTGTATTTATTTGTTATCATGTACCAGCTACTCCCCATGTGCTTTATTTGGAATATGCACATTTCATCTTCCTAGAAGTCCTGTGTTGGAGATTTTGTTATACCTAGTTTACAGATGAGGACACTGAGGACAGTAACTTCCTGCTGTCCTATTGCTTTCAGGTCGGGTCCAGCACTGGAACTTGGGCAGAGTCCCTCCAAGGGACCATGGTGGTTGGCTTCAGATTCTGTGCTGGGATATAAATGGGTCACTCATGGTGTATCTGGGGTCCATACATATAGGAGCTGGGGAACGTCTTGATATGGCCATCTGCTTGCCCAGACCTTAGCAACTTATGGGTAACACGGGAGTCCTTTTAATTGTAGAAACTCAGATTTAGGCCCTGATGGTGAATCTCCGCTCACCTCCACCTGTCACCAGTTCTAAACTGTGTTTCCCTCATCCCCGTGGAAGGTGTCTTATATGGGACTTAGACTCTATCACCTATTCACTTGGGGTCTGTTGCCTGATGTTCCTCTTTCTGCCACCTCCCTCTGCGTGGGGCGTTTGAGGAGCAATATGGGGATTACAGTGAGGGTGTGTGTGTATGTGTGTATAGGGCCTTATCCCTTTTCTGTTACATTATTTTGCAAGGTTACTAAAGCAGGGCTGCAGGCCCACCCTCATGTTTTAGAGCTGTTTCATGAAACCTTTTCATATTTTTAATTGTACTTTGCCTTCCATTCCTCTCTGAATGAGGTCATGGGGCCAGGATGGGAAAACTTAAAATGGCTATCTGTACTTGGAATCAGCCTTTTCTCTCTGCCTTGAAAGCTTTATTTCTGGATATAGCACTGTGAAAAGCTCCTTCTCTCTCTCGTCTTCCTTTTTCCCTTACTATGGGAGTGAGCCTATGCTAAGCCTGACCCGCCGGGTTTCTAGACATACTCAAATGTGTCTGAATTCCAGCTTAGTCCCCAAATTGAATCCTCCTCCTCCCAAAGAGGTGATGTAATAACATATTTAATTTATAAGGCTTAATTTAAGACTGGTTTATTTGGAGATTTATTTAAGAAAGCATGCAAGGAAAGGAATTTCCTTTTCCTTTTTACTGACAATGGATAGCACCAGACTATCTCAGAGGTTATTTTGAGGATTAAAGCCCCAAAAAGTGTTTTCAGTAGTGCCACCACAGTGTAAACACTCTAATGGTCACTTACTGTATCATTTCCAGTCTAACATTATTATTTGATGATAATATACACATGGAATTTAGAATTGGAGATTGTGAGGCTCTAGCCATTCTATTATTTATGTTCAAATTTAAAAAAATGTTGGGGCTCCTGGGTGTCTGCCTTCAGCTCAGGTCATGATCCCGGGTTCCTGGCATAGAGCCCCACATCGGGCTCCCTGATCAGTGGGGAGCCTGCTTCTCCCTCTGACCCACCCCCCCATGCTCTGTCTCTCTAAAATAAATAAAATCTTTATAAAAAAATTTAAAAATGTAATTTTCAATCCTATTCATAATTTACTTAAAATGGTAAAATCCTTCCTCTCCCTTCCCAGTGCAGAGTCCTACACATCTGAGGAAGTAGGACAGTAAGGGCAGGTGGTACTCCATGGAGGGGTCTGCAGCAGGGAGAGTGGGGGTGATGGTGATGGTGGGGGTGGGAAGGGTGTAGAGGCAGCCTGAAGAAGAGGTGGCTGGTGTATTTGGGAGATTGGTTACATTGAGCAGATGTATTAATTGAACAAATAAGTAAATAGATTGAGAATATGGGAGCTAGATTTCTCACTCTCTGAAAAGAAATGTACAAAATGGGGTAGGGAGGGGTGCCTGGGTGGCTCAGTCGGTTAGGCTACTGACTATTGATTTTGGCTCAGGTCATGATCTCAGGGTCATGAGATTGAGCCCCATGTTGGGCTCCCCGCTGAGCAGGGAGTGTCCTTGAGAGTCTCTCTCTCTTCCTCTTCCTCTGCCCCTCCCTCTGCTTGCGTGTGCTTGTGCATGTGCGCTCTCTCTCAAATATTCAAAATTGGGAAGGGATAGGCTAGAAAGAAACTGGAGTATTGGATTGGGATTATATTTACTTGTATGAACATATGGGTTTTTCAATATAGAGAGATATAGAAGTATATGTGTGTAAAAAACAAACAAACAACCTATCTTTGTGTATATATATATATACACATCCATGTAGTTTTTCTGTCTGCCAGGAACACCCGGAAGCAGTGACACCCCTTTAACTGTGACACACTGTGCTCAGATTTTGGTTTCTAACTACTACACTCCACTAAAAGGAACAAGGGCTTCTGGGGGTGGGGGAAAATCATTGCTTCTAGGACTGGGACAGAGAAAGTATAAGATGAACCCAGGACTCCTTTTGGGACCAGAAAGTAAGGGATTACTCAATTAAGGGGGTGCATCAAAAGATATAAGATTCAGCTAGAAGGGGCCCCTGCTGGTCCAGTCCCAGGACAATTTGAGTATTAATATAAATAATGAGAGTATTGGGTGCAATTCATGAGATTAACAGGAATATCTGTGTGTGTGCAGGTGTGTACTCGTGTGTGTGTGTGTGTCTGGCATTTGTGCACACACGGCATGCACTCATCTGTGCATGTGTGTGTATGTGCAGGCATGCCTCACTCTATCCTGCTCTGCTTTTTTAAGCTTCACAGGTACTATGTTCTTTACAGATTGAAGGTTTACGGCAATCTTTGTCACACAAGTCTATTGGTATTTTTACAGTAGCAGTTGCTTACCTCGTGTCTCTGTCTCACATTTTGGTGTTCTCGTGTTATTTCAAGCTTTTTCACTGTTGTTACATTTGTGATCATGATCCGTGGTCTTTGATGTTACTGTCAAAATTGTTGTGGGGCGCCACAGACTGTGCCCCTATAAGATAGTGAACGTAATCGATGAAAGTTGTGTGGTTCTGACTGCTTCACTGACCAGCTGTCCCGCACCCCCGTCTCTCTCCCTCTGCTCAGGCCTCCCTATTCTCTGAGACACAGCAATGTTGAGGTTTGGCCAGTGATTAACCCTACATTGGCCTTTAAGTATTCAAGTAAAAGGAAGAGTCACACATTAAATCAAAAGCTAGAAATGATTAAACTTAGTGAGGAAGACATGTCGAGAGCCCAGATAGGCTGAAACCTAGGCCTTTTGCACCAAACAGCCAAGTTGTGAGTGCAAAGGAAAAGTTCTTGAAGGAAATTAAAGGTGCCACTCCAGTGAACACATGAATGCTAAGAAAGCGAACAGCCTTATTGCTGATATGGAGAGAGTTGGAGTGGTCTGGATAGAAGATCAAACCAGCCACAACATTCCCTTAAGCCAAAGCCTAATCCAGAGCAAGGGCATAACTCTCTTCAGTTCTATGAAGACTGAGAGAGGTGAAGAAGCTCCAGAAGAAAAGTCAGAAGCTGGCAGACGTTGGTTCATGAGGTTTTAAGAAAGAAGCTGTCTCCATAATGGAAGAGTGCAAGGTAAAGTAGCACATACTGATGGAGAAGCTGCAGCAAGTGATCCAGAAGGTCCAGCTAAGATAATTCATGAGGGTGGCCTCACTACACAGCAGATTTTCAGTGTAGATAATGTTTGGCTTCAAAGCTTCAAAGGACAGGCTGACTCTCTTGTTAGAGGCTAATGCAGCTGGTGACTTTAAGTTGAAGCAAGTGCTCATTTACCATTCTGAAAATCGTAGGGCCCTTAAGAATTAGACTAACTCTACCTGTGCTCTATGAATGGAACACCAAAGTCTGGATGACAGCACATCTATTATAACAGCATAATTTACAGAGTATTTTAAGCCCTCTGTTGAGAGCTAGATGCCACTAAGAACATTCGTGATTCATGGGAAGAGGTCAAAATATCAACATAAGTAGGAGATTGGAAAAAACTGATTTCAACTCTCAAGGATGACTTTGAGGGGTTCAAGACTTCAGTGGAAGAAGTCACCGCAGATGTGGTGGGAATAGCAAGAGAACCAGAATTAGAAGTGGAGCCTGAAGCTGGGACTGAATTGCTGCCATCTCATGGTAAATCTTGAACAGATGAGTTGCTTTTTATGCATAAGCAAAGAAAATGGTTTCTTGAGATGGAAGCTACTCCTGGTGAAGATGCTATGAAGATTGGTTAAAATGACAACAAAGAAGTTAGAACCTTCCATAAATTTAGTTGATAAAACAGCAGCAGGGTTTGAGAGGGTTGAGTCCAACTTGGAAAGAAGTTCTGTTGTTGGTAAAATGCTACCAAATATCATTGTTGTCCTATTTCAAGACATTGCGCCAGCTGCCCCAGCCTTCAGCAGCCACTACCCTGGTCAGTCAGCAGCCTGATCAACACTGAGGGCAGACCCCCCACCAGCAAAATGATTATGACCGAAAGCTCGGATGATGGTTAGCATTTTTTTTTTTTTAAGCAATATAGTATTTTTTACTTAAGGTATGTACATTTTTAAGACATAATTCTATTGTGCACTTAATAGACTACAGTATAGTGTAAACATAACTTTTATATACACTAGGGAACCCCAAAATTCATTTGACTTGCTTAATTGCAATATTCACTTGATTGCAGTGGCCTGGAACTGAACCCTTAATATCTCTGAAGTATTTATATGTATAAATATTATACACACACACACACCACACGTTCAGAAAGAAGTGAGGGTTGGGAGGAATCTGAGTAAAGTGACAAAAAGGCAAATAAATAAAATCGGTGTATAATTAGTATTAAAATGAGGACAAGAAATCCTGGAGGCATGAGAAACAGGGAGGCAAGAGGGGACTGGCCATTAACAAATGAGTCCCACCCTCCTTGCAATCCTGCATTTTGTTCTAGTACATACATTTTTTTTTAACTCTCAGCTTGTGTTTAAAATAAGTTTCTGCAGGTAAGTTTTCCCCTTTGCAATCCACATTTATCAGACTCCATTCCCCTAAACAATGTGTACCATTCTACCATTTTTCTGTTCTAGGACCCTTGGTAACCCCTTTCATTGTAGGGAGGAGAGGGGAGGGATTTCAGTAAAAATTTTTTTAATCTCCACTTTTTCACAATTTCACATCAGCAGTTTTTTGGTGTTAATACAGTTATTTTAGAGTGTGGATAAAAGAAATGTCCAGAAACTTGGTGGTGCTGACTCATCATGCTTGCCTTGGTAATTTCGTCACTTCACCTTGCATATACGTTTCCAGTGTGTCCATTTGACAGAGATATTGGCATACCAAGTCTCCTGGGTTTCAGAAATGTGATTTGTCACATTATCAAAGACATTATTTGTACATGGGATTCTTCCCCCCCCCGCAATCTGAGAAGAAATGTCATTTCAAGTGCAATTGCCATGACCTGCAAAAAATGACCTCATATTTATTAGCTGGCAGAGAAGAATTAAGTTTTTTTGGGTTCTGAGTACCTAATACTGCTGGTATAATAATGGTGAGTCAGGTTGATTGTGCAAAGGAGAGACTTCCCAGATATTTTATGACCTACTTTTTTTTTTTTTAAATCTAAGATTTAGTAATATTGTGAGATGTGGAGGTATGAATTCTTATGTTGAATATCACAAGCATTCTTGGTGTTTGAAATCTTCGAGAGTAAATAACCTCCAGTACCTTAGCTTAGACTCCTCTGTTAGCTATTCTACCACTAATTTTTTCCTTAACGCTAATCTTAACAAAGAGACACACTGGAAAGGGTGGGTATATTTCGAGAAGTTTATAGAAAAATCCTACAAATTTAATTATAGTTATCCAGAAACTTAAAAATGTACATGAAAGAGCTCATATGAGGACTTAAAACTTACATGTGTTTTTTATGTTTCAGACACGGAATCGTTTTGAAGGAACAAGGTCAGAAGTGGAAGAGCTTATGAACAAAATCAGACAGAATCCCAAGGACCACAAACGAGCAAGTCAATTCACAGCCGAAGGCTACTTATATGTACAGGAAAAAAGTAAGAAGACCTCCAGCAGTGATGAATGACTAATGAAAAATTATTTTAAAACTTACTGTAATTACTCTATTTTTGGAATAATTATTGCTACCACTGCCTTTGCCCCGTCCTGTCCTAGAAGGTAGTATTTTGTATTATGGGGGAAAACACTTTCCTGCTCTAGTGAGGGGACAGTGAAATTAGGAACTCAAGGAGCACCCCACTTTTCAGATGCATCCTGGAATTCTGCATCACACTTTGCTAAAACTTGCTTATAAGGATGCCAGAAGTTGGTGTAAGGCTGAAAGTGAGGCGAGGTATTTTTCCTCCTTTCCCTTCATCCCTTGCCGTCCTCATCACCTACGCACACACATATGCACATTCATATACATATGCACACCCTCCCCGTCCCACAGCCCTCCTTCTTCATGTTAAAGTCAACAGGGACATATTCCTCCTATCCTGTCACATCAGTTCTTTCCACACCAATCTGAGATCGTTTGTTCTTGCTAAAATTGTCAGGGTGATTGCAGATGGCTATAAAAAAGACTCCTAGATGGCATTCTAACTTACAGAATTTTTAGTATTGCTCTCAGTGAATATGCGGTGCATAGAGTGTCCTTATTTTGAAAATGAAGGCCCCTAAAAATTCTTTCGGACTTTTTGACAGTTTGGTCGTATTTTTAACTGTTCAGCTCTTAAACTTTACTTCCTCAGCTATAGAACCTGAGTACTATTTAGTAGAAAGGAAGAGAATGTGAAAATATTTCTCTATTTGCTGTTCTCCTGCCTTCCCACCCTTGACTGTCATCAGCATACTTCACAATTTTCATTAGTGTGGCTGATTTACAGGACTTTCCAACTGACCACTTGAGTAGGAGCGGGTACTTGTGGAAGAGCTGTGGGATATCTGTGCTTCCAAGTCAAGTTAATGCATATGTGGTCAGCAGAGGGGTTCTTTTGCCATTTGTCCTTATTCAGTCTGGGCTACCACAGTGTTCATGTCTCACGAAGAGGAGTTACATGGCGAGCAGAACTTTAAATTTTCCTGATGCTTTAGCTTTTTAATCTCACTTTGTTCATTGAATTTGAAATAACTAAATTAACATGTAGGGTAGAGACATTGGAAGGATAGAATTTTTGTATTATATGCCCAAGTGAAAACCACAGGAAACTTTAATTTTTAGATTCATAACTGTTGCTCAGCTTACTGTCTTTGAGAGGAATTGGGCTGAGACTAGTTGGAAAAACAGAACGAAAACAGTAGTGGCAAAAGTCTCCTCTTGTTAACTGCATGCGAGACACTGTGCTAAGCTTCTTATACACCTTGTCTCATTTAATCCATTAAAAAACCCTATGAAGTGTATGGTACTACTATTATGTCTTCAACTCATAGCTTTGTTGCTGAAAAGTATTGAATCTTCTCTCAAATGATCTCTCTGAGCCTTTTTATTTTCCCTCCTTTTTTTTTTTTTAATTGGAATCAACAGTGTTGCTGGTTGGTTTCCTTGAGCTGTATTAGTTGCTGCTTATTGGGTTTTTCCTATTTAGTAATATGTTTGAAACTCTGCGTATCTGCTTATTTATGAGGAAAAATGTAAAGTTCTATTTCTTGTTGAAGGGCCCGCTCCGTTTGGTTCCAGTTGGGTCAAACACTACTGCATGTATCGGAAAGCAGCCAAGAAGTTCAACATAATCCCATTTGAGCACAGATCTGGGGGAAAACTTGTAAGTATTTGATTATATATTATGTATTCTATGTGAGAGGTAGTTTTTGAGGCTGACATTTTATTGATTTATTGATTTTATTTATTTACTTGAGAGAGAGACAGCACGAGCAGGGAGGGGACAGAGGGAGAAGCAGACTCTCCCTTTGGCAGGGAGCCCAACATGGGACTCAGTCCCAGGACCCTGGGATCATGACCTGAGCCAAAGGCAGACGCTTAATCGACTGAACCACCCAGGTGCCCGAGGCTGACTTTTTTTTAAAGATTTTTATTTATTTATTTGACAGAGAGAGAGACAGAGAGAGAGGGAACACAAGCAGGGGGAGTGGGAGAGGGAGAAGCAGGCTTCCCGTGGAGCAGGGAGCCCGATGTGGGGCTCTATCCCAGGACCCTGGATCATGACCTGAGCCGAAGGCAGACGCTTAACAACTGAGCCACCCAGCCGCCCCCACAAGGCTGACATTTTAATGGTGTTTATATTCTCTAATGATAAATACATTATATTTTGGTTTTAGGATTAAAATCTTTGTTTTCTTTTGTTTCTAAATAAAGTAGGCCAGTAAACAACAATTCTTATGGTTTTTGAATTGTATGTATGGGTTTTTATGGTCAGGACTAGAATCCTTTTTATGTCATTTTCTTGAAGGATAAAGTGAACACTTAAAATGAGCTTTCACAACTCAGTGTTCTGTCGGGTTAGTATTTACAAAGATCTGATATGCACACATGTATTCACAGCCTGAAAACTTTCTACGGTAGATAGTCTGTAATGAATTTTATTGTTTTCCATTTAGACTTACAAAGTTCTCACTTAGGCAGTTCCCAGTTAACTACTCCTCCACAGAAATAAATAACAAAACAACATGTGATAGCAAGAGGACCTCAGGAATTGTCTGTGTAGGAAAGATGATTGTTATTTGGGTTTTAAATAGAAACTGCCGCTCATAGCAATAATCGATAGTCTGGAGGCAAAGCTCTTCTACCAATATTGAACATAATTGGTAACGCATTAAAAAAAAAGGGGGAAGTCATTGCTTGCTGGGTATGATTTTGCTTAGGTGAATACAGAATTGACCCAAGTTCACTTCTATTTACATATACTTTGCATCTTACTGAAAAATATTTATAAAGCAGCTTATAATACAGACATAGTTTTGTAATAATGAAAGAGACATGGAAAATCAGGGCCACGGAGAAGAGGAGGAAGTGAGGAAATCACTTGTAAAGGCTGATGGGATTAAGATTGAGCATGAGGTTTGGGTTTGAGATTCCTGTCAGGACTAATTCAAATGCTAAGACATGTCTGCTTAGTGATGTCTCTCTGTTTAACGACCACATAATAAAAAATACACTTCGGAATATAATGACTGTGACAATTTGAATATTGGCATATTTGAATGTTTAATATTACATGGAGATTCTCCTATTTTAGAAAATGTAAGAATGTTCTAGAAGTAGGTACTCAGAGGTTTTCTAGTTCTTTACTCAGAACCTGTGTTCCTGCATTACTTCTACCTCCCTTGGCTGGTTTAGTGAGGTAAAACAGTACCATATTAAAACAAATTAAGTAAATATAAATTCAGGGTGATCCACTCCGGAAACAAAACCCACGTTGATTGAGTGGCTCTAGCTTTCTATGATCACAACAGTTGCTCTAGGGCCTTCCAATATGATACCTTTTAGGTATTTTCATATGGAATTGAAGTTTTTATAGGTCAAAAATGGTCACATATTGGTACGCCTGGGTGGCTCAGTCTTTAAGCGTCTGCCTTCGGCTCAGGTCATGGTCCCAGGGTCCTGGGATCATGCCCCACATCGGGCTCCCTGCTCTGCGAGAGTCCTGCTTCTCCCTCTCCCACTCCTCTTGCTTGTGTTCCCTCTCTCACTGTGTCTGTGTCTGTCAAATAAATAAATAAATTTTTTTTTTAAAAGGTCACACGTTGCCTATTTTATATGGTGTAACATAGTATGAATTAAAAACAAATTATTCCTTTAAAAAGTGCAGTAAGAGAATAGCAAATATTCTGGCTTGTGGAAACTGTGTTGTTAGTCTGCCTTTTAAAATCAGTGCTCACGAGGTCTGGTTTAGTGTTACTGTAATCAAAGCAAGATCTAGAAAACCTAAGGAAAAGAGGATGACAAAAATGATTAAGATTATAAATAGGGATGCCTATTTATAATCGGTTAATCAGTCGGTTAAGTGTCTGCCTTTGGCTCAGGTCATGATCTCCGGGTCCTGGGATCAAGCCCCATGTTGGGGTCCCTGCTCAGTAGGGAGTCTGCTTCTCCCTCTTCCTCTGCCCTGCTCGTGCTCACTCACTCTCTCTCTCTCTCAAATAAATAAAATCTTAAAAAGATTATAAATAGTGTTTAATCAAACTTGTTTGAAAGAGAATAGGATAAAGGGACTTAAAATCTTGAACCTTGGGGTACCCCCCTCCCCAATATAGGGCTCTTTAGTGTGTCTATGTTTATATTGTAGTTTTTGAGTATGTTTAAAATGATTATTTTCAGGGGGATGGAGAGGTGTTCTTTTTGAAAGAATGTACCAAGAGGCATACTGACTCCATTGACAGAAGATTTTGTTTTGATGTAGAAGCTGCTGACCGGTAAGTTATTAGAATTCTTGCACTTAATGAAAGAGTCCTATAAAAGATGATTTAAAAAATGGAGGTTAATTGAAACTGAGATTTCCTTGGCCTGAAAGAATGTTATTTTGTTACATTTCCAGGCTTTGTATTCATTTTGACCTGTTTAGTCTTTGTCTCTGTGTTTAGCTATGGAGTGATAGCTTGATCTTGGCTGGAGTTCAAAGTCCTTCTAAATAGTAATTAAAAATTACCTTGGAGCATTTCATTGTTGATCCAAGCCTAATTGTGGCACTGAAAGAATAATGAATGAAAGTGAAGCAGTAGGTGACAAAGCTGACAAGAGATGGTGGGTTGTTAATACAGAACAATATTCATTTTTGTGTGTGGGAATTTTCGGTGTGTGTATTCTGTATGTGATGGAGGCTCATAGGCAAACTGTTTATTTAAAGACTGCTTATCTTTTCCCTTGTTGTATGACTTTCAGTTATTATGAAAGAATCTTTGCCAGAGAGGAGGAAATAAAAAAAGAAAAACATTCCTCCGATAATATTACTACTTCTCTGGCATTTATTTCTGTATCCTCCTGTCGTACTGAGGAAAATCTTGGTATTTATAGAATATTTCTTTCATAATGTCTGACAGTATGGTGGTTCCTTGCTAGTCCTGGTCTTGGCAACACTGGTCTTTAGATAAGGCTATTTCATAGTTGTATAACAAAAGTTTACAAGATGAGATTTCTGTAACAAAAGTTCATTTCGGGTTGGGATCCACGAATACAAAAATAATTAATGCTACCTCTTCCCTCAGATGATGGAACCGAGTCTGTGGGGTGGATGCAGAGAGGAAGGAGCTTTGCTTTCCTTTCCAGTAAATTAACTGAAGACCACATACATAAAAGTGTGCCACTAGGTGCCATGATAAATTTGGCATTACCGTGAGAAAGGTAGTTTAACATGCATTTTTGCCAAGACTGAAAAAAAAGTGAAAGAGAATGTCATTGTGGAAAAGGTCCAATTTCAGGCCAGTAAGGACTAATTCAGAGACTTTAAGAAGAGATTCAGGCTGTGTAGTGCAACTGGAGCATCTGTGGGCATCTACCCATAGTAGGCATTTACTGAGTTAGCACTAAGTACTCTAAATTCTTCTGTGCTTTCTGTCATTGAATCCTCACCGTAGCCCTATTAGGCAGGTATCCTCCTTCCCATTTTATGATGGGAATCTGGGCCATAGAGAGCTTAGGTGATTCTCCCAAGGGCATGGAGTTGTAAGTGGAAGGGCTGACATTTGAACACCTGCGTTCCACCTCTAAAGCCCGTTCTGCCTCTCACCCACTACACCGTAAGTCTGAGTGTTACCATGTAATTGTGACATTCCCTAAATAACTGACAAAGGTGTGTCAGCAGTGATGTCTACTAGAAAATGTGTTTAATGGGGTTAATATGATTTGCTTTGAAAATAGGATACTTCTAGTGCTTTCATATATTGCTCTAGTATAGTGTGTATTGTTTTTGCCTAACCCCGTATTTTCTCTAAGACTTGATCATGCCAAATGCACTTGGTCAACAGTGATCCTTATTATGATGGTAAACACTTTCCACCCCTCACAGAGATTGACTAGGGATTACTGTGGAGTTATTTTCGCCTATATGGGATAACACCTTATAAATAGACTCTGATACAGTGAGCCCTGTGAATTGTGTAAGACTGTTGAATCACAGACCTGTACCTCTGAAACAAGTAATACATTATATGTTAAAAAAAAAAAAAAAAAGCAGGTAGGGAAAAATGAAGGAGGGGAAATCGGAGGAGGAGAGGAACCATGACTATGGACTCTGAGAAACAAACTGAGGGTTCTAGAGGGGAGGAGGGTGGGGGGATGGGTTAGCCTGGTGATGGGTATTAAAGAGGGCACGTACTGAATGGAGCACTGGGTATTATATGCAAACAATGAATCATGGAACACTACATCAAAAACTAATGATGTAATGTATGGTGATTAACATAACATAATAAAAAAAGGAAAAGAAAAAAATAGACTCTGAGAATGGTGGGGGGCAGACTTTAGAGATGATCTATTCTAGTGGGTTTTATTTTATTTATTTATTTTTTTAAAGATTTTATTTATTTATTCGACAGATAGAGAGCACAGTAGGCAGAGTGGCAGGCAGAGGGAGAGGGAGAAGCAGGCTCTCCACTGAGCAGGGAGCCAGACATGGGGCTCGATCCCAGGACCCCAGGATCATGACCTGAGCCGAAGACAACCGCTTAACTGACTGAGCCACCCAGGCGCCCCTATTCTAGTGGTTTTTAAACTGCTTTATAGGGAGACCCTCTTTTCAAATAAAATTTTATGTTTATGTATATGAGAAACAACCAAAAAAGAGAGTTCCCTTATTGAAGAAGGGTAAGCGGCCTGGAGCCCTACTTTTTCAGCTTCTTTCTTCTTGTAGACATCTCTAATTTACTTCTGCTGACACCCAGAGCTTCTTTCTGGGAAATCGTGGTAGGGGGACCATTAATCTAGTCTAGATAGATGGTTGAAGAAAGGCATATGGAGGACCTGACGTCTAGTTGATGACTGATGGATTATTTGGAGTCAGCTGTGATTGAGACTCCTATTCCAGGCAGAGTGAATAGCTCATGTGAAGGCCTGGAGTCAAGGGAGAACATGGCCCATTTGAGGTCCCCAGAGACACTAGCAACACTGGAGTAGCCAGAAAGAGTAGGAGAAGAGGCTTGAGATGGAGGCAGGGGCCTGGCATTGAGGTTTTTTAGGTTAATCCATTAAATGGCTTTAAGTCGAGTAGTGAGCGATAAATTTATCTTTTTCAGAACTCACTCTGGCAGAGTAGAGAAAGGTCTGCAGGTGGCACGAATAGATGAAAGGGCCCTGGATTAATGTTGGTAGCAGTGGGAATGGAAGCTAAGGGATCCATTTGAGGGAGATGTTTAGAGCTAAATTTAGAGACAAATTGGATGTTGGAGTATAGAGTGAAGGAGGGGAAGGTTTCTGGCTTAAGCAACTAGGTAGTGCCATTTACTAAGATGGAAAACCAAGGAGGCCCGAGAATGGAGGACAATGAATTCACCTGTGGTCATGTTGAGTTAGATTGCTGTGGGTCATTCAGTAAGAAACCCGGTGGGAGATTGGGTGCAGCACTTGGCAGCTTTGGCAGCATTTGACCTACATGACTGAATCATGCTCGTTGCCCAAAATTTCTTGGACCTCTCCATTTTCAGCTATTGCTTTTTAAATGTTATTTCCTGTGGCTGTCTTTTCTTTCTTTCTCTGTCCATTCAGATGGTTTCATCCTCAAAGTGAATAACTCTGCAGTCTGTATTTTTCTTTTTTTTTCTGTTTTTTTGAGCTGCTTTTAGAATCTTTAGCTCCTTACACAGTATATCTCCAATTCCACTCCTTTTAAAATTCTTGGTGATTTCATTACCGCTTGAGAGGATTCTTTTTAGTACTTTGCTTCTTGACTCCTGGAACTCCTCTCCTTTGGTCATCTTGTCCTTTACCCTACCTCAGCCATTCACTCTCACAGTCATTGCTTAGGTCTTGTCATTACAAGGACCGGCAACCGCTCTAGAATCTCAGCCGCAAGCCTTTCTCTTTCCGACATCACCTTCTATCCTTCTCTGCTTTTTTCCTGGTAAGTATCCTTAGAGTTTCTCTAATCAGTTGAGCCTATTGTTACTCAGTTTCTTACACCCTCACTTCATTCCTCACCTGGTTTTAATTTCATAGTCAATCTTTTAAATATGCTCTGTTGTCTTTCTCTTCCTTTATTAGACTTGCTGGTACAACCCCAACTTAAGTAAGAGTCACCTCTGCCTTCCCTCTTCCTAGAGAGGCATATTCCCATGTTCACTGGGATCACTTCAGATTCATGACCACTAACCTCAAATGAGCCATTAATTCTAACCACTAATTATGTTACATTTTCTAGCTCCTTTATTCTCCTGGTTGATGAATATTTTATATATTTCTCTTTCTGAGCCTCTGACACTGCCTCTTTCCTGATAATTTTGTGTCCTATTTTGTTGTGACTGTAGAAGCAAGCAACGAGAAGAGATCATCCACTGCCAGAAACACCCACTCCATCACCGTGCCCAGACACCTTGCCCTTCTTCCATCTCTGTGAGCTGTGTTCCTGAGCCTCTCTGTTCATTTGTCTCTCATCCTGTCCCTGCTACTCCACAGTATCACTCAAGCAGTCTTCTTTCTTGTTAACCTGAGGGTTGTCCTTTCTACTGGATTATTCTTATCACACAAAATACTCTTTTTTCATCAGAAATAATGCCCCCACCATCACCCGTAAGAGACAGTCTTCCCTTTTGTCTGTTGCCCATTTCTCTCCTCTAGGAAACAAAAAACTTCTTCGAACGCTGTTATATTAAGGTCTCATTTTTTCTTCCTCCTATTCTCTTTTGACCCCTCTCCAGTCTGGTCTTTGTCTCTCCTTTCCACTGTGGTTGTGTTTGTCAAGCTGTCACGATCTCCATGTGCAACGTCCAGTGGTCAGCTGTCCTGTCCTTCCTCTTCTTTGTTGGCAGCAGCATCTGACATGGCCAGTCACTCTCCTCCATGACCTACTTGCTTCACTTCTTCTAGAACATCATACCTGCCTGTTCGTTTTCTCCCACCCCACTGGCTTTTCAGTTCTTTTTTTAATTTTTTATTTATTTATTTTTTTAAAGATTATTTATTTATTTATTTATTTGACAGAGAGACAGCGAGAGAGGGAACACAAGCAGGGGGAGTAGGAGAGGGAGAAGCAGGCTTCCCCGCAGAGCAGGGAGCCCGATGTGGGGCTCGATCCCAGGGTCCTGGGATCACGACCTGAGCCGAAGGCAGACGCTTAACGACTGAGCCACCCAGGCGCCCCAGGCTTTTCAATTCTTAAACTCAATTACAGCTTCTTATTTCCCAGACCTCTTGATGTTGGAGTTCTCTGATGTTCATCTTAGAGCTCTTCTCCTCGTTCTCACCCTTAGGATCTTGTCCAGCCTCA